TATTTTTATATCTTTAAAAAAATCATTTAGTTTCTCTGATTGTATAGATGAAAAAAATACGATAAAAATCTGTAAAATGAAATAGTTTTATATCTTTTGATTCTGCTGAGTATAGAATATATAGAGTTATGCCAAGGAGGTATTATGCACATGGAACCAAGAACAAAGCTGCCGCAGCGCGTGAAGAACGTTTGCGCGATGCCTTTGAAGTCTAATGTGTTCCCCGCTACCAAATGCTCAGCAGGCTTAGATTACCAAGCACGTTCTTTTCTCATTGCGCACTACTTGCAGTCAATAACTATGGCTGCGCAATCTTTTCCATCTTGAAGCTAATACATTGATCTTTCAAGAAATACCAAACATAATAATATTTTCTGAAAAAAGAGTTTCGAATTTAATGAAACATTTACATCAGCTTTAGAAGTATGGTATATTGCAACTTGAATTTCCATAAATTGGATAAAACTCGATACAGTAATTCCAATTTTAACAGATATTAGGCCTAATTAAGGAACGATGGAGGGTCATTCGAGGGTTAACTCATTCAAAAATTCAATCCAGAATCCGAGTAATTTTCAATTTTACGCTGCCTTAGCTTTATAGTCAAACAAATCGATCTTTAGACATTATAATGAACACAGAATAGGCCATGGGGTGAAAATCCTAACGTTCAGTCCCGTTCCGAAATTTTCCTAATACTTTTACTCATTATGATAATTATTATAATAATATTTAAAAGCACCAAAAAAAAGTTCGACCGTCAGAACTAATACGAGAAAATGACGTTTAAACTTACGAAATTGAAAGTTCTTTGCGCTAGATTAGCACACGACATTTTGCATACGTCACTGTACTCGTTCGAATATTGTATTTTTGATACGTAGTTTATTATTTGTAAAATTCGTATTACTGCTTTAGAAACAAACTAAAAAATTATAATTAGATATAGTTTGAATTTTAATTACAGAATAAAATTTTTTAGACTACTATTAAATTGTTTTTGTTACAATAACTTCACGTGTTGTGGTACAGCCAACAACAGTAAACAACAACATGGCGACTAGCGGCGGACAGTGTGCCGGTGTTGTAATAAAGTGTTGTTTTCACCGCGAAGAAATTGCTAATGAAACTCCAATTCTAGTTACAGCAACCAGATTCTTGAAGATTGTTACTTGTAACAAATTATGGATAGTTTTAGACAGTCATAACCGAACAATAGCTGACAAACTTGTGTCTTAACTAGCCTAGGATGTGCCTCCTCTTGTGTCTTGGTTGGAATGGATAAGGGAAAGACATACGATTACGAGGATGTGATAAGACTTTCACCCTGTTTGCTATCGTCGTTACATCGACACGAAATCGATAACAATGATAAGTTATCATTACCAAGTGTAGTGTAGTCCCGTCAGTACCTTACCCAGACACATTGTACAGTGTATTAAAAATATTCTTTAAAAAAATGGTGCTGACTGTGCAGGCCCTACCTCACTTAGGTTCGTGAGTGGATTTCCCGCTGTCTCTTATACACATCTAGATGTGTATAAGAGACAGAATTTATGAACGATATGACGGACAAGATTTAAAAAAAATTAAATAACGAGTAATGAATTAAATTAATTAAAAATGAA